AAATTCCCCACACAGATATAATCACAATGACATTACAATGGATTTAATTCCAGCCTTTTGTGTGTATATATACATAAAATAAATACAGAAATATAGATATATTTTTATTTTACTTTTTATTGCATTTATTAATTAATAAAATTATATAAATTTCACATATATTATGTTATTTTAATAAATGTCTATTATTTTTAAAAATTATAATCATTCTACATGCCCTGTATTGCAAACTCCACTTTTCAGTTGTGAGCATTTACTTATATCATTAAATAATTATTCTATAGCATCACCTATGTTTACAATTTATCTGATTAGGTAGTATATAAACAGAGTGAAAATTCAAAACATGCAGAAGACTATACAGTGAAGTGAGCCTCCTGTTTCTCCTTTCTTCCTAGAAACACTCTATTCAGAGACAATCAGCTGTCTTATCATCATTTTGTTTGTTTGTTAATCATCACCTGAGGATTTTTCCCCATTGATTTTTTTAAAATATATTTTATTGATTTTTCACAGAGAGGAAAGGAAAGGGACAGAGAGTCAGAAACATTGATGAGAGAGAAACATCGATCAGCTGCCTCCCGCACACTCCCCACTGGGGATGTGCCCACAACCAGGGCACATGCCCTTGACCGGAATTGAACCTGGGGCCCCTCAGTCCGCAGGCTGACGCTCTATCCACTGAGCCAAACCGGTCAGGGCCCCATTGATTTTTAGAGAGAATGGAAGGGAGAGAGAGAGAGAGAGACAGAGAAACATCAATGTGAGAGAGACATATTGATTGCTTACCTTTGCACACACACTCCCCAACCAGGGCTGTGAGATAGAGCCTGCAACTGAGGTATATGCCCTTGATCGGAATCGAACTGGAACCCTTCAGTCTGCAGGCTGAAACTCTTTCCACTGAGCCAAACCGGCTAGGGCCATATCATCATTTTTAATGAACATAATAATCCAATGTGTGGGTACACTTTAATTTATTTAACAAATCTCTTGTACATTTAAATATCTCTGCAAAGAAGATCTCTGTATATACTTTATAGTGTGATCTTGGATGATTTCCTTAATGTAAATTCCGAAAAGAAACATTTCTGGGTCAAAGGGCTTACCAATTTAGGGTGTTTTTTTGTTGTTATTTTCTTTTCTTTTTATTTTATGCCATATCACTTACTAGAAATGCTGCCTACTAGTAGTATGTGATAGTACTTCTTTCTTCTAAATCCTTTCCTACACTAGATATCATCACTTTTGTCTTGATCTTTTCTAATTTAATAGATTTTAAAAATCACATTTTGCCCTGGCTGGTGTGCTCAGTGGTTAGAGCGACGGCCTGCCCACAGAATGGTTACAGGTTCGATTCCTGGTCAAGGGCATGTACCTGGGTTGCAGGTTTGTTCCCTGCCCCAGGCTGGGGCGAGGGCAGGAGGCAATCAATCGATGAGTCTGTTTCTCTCTCTCCCTCCCTTCTTTCCACTCCCTCTTAAACAAACAAACAAACAAACAAACATCAGTGGGAAAAAATAGCCTTGGGTGAGGCTTAACAGCAACAATCACAATTAATTTGCATTTCTTTGTGTTGAGCTTCCTATGTTTTTTGGACTTTCTTCTTTGAGAATGGCAGCTCACGCTTTTTGCCTATTTTTTCTATTGAGGGATTTGACGTTATATGGTTAGGATCGCCGAACAATCTCCATCAAAAACCGTTGCCTGTCTCAGAAGTGATATTTCATTGTTATCGCAAGTGTGTATTTCTTTGGTTATTAACGGGCCTGAGCATTTTCTCAGATTGGCTCTTTGGATGATAGCTTGTCTTCTTGCGAATCCCTAAGTTTATCCTGTTTCCTCCTTTTCTCCAGACAATTTGGAGCTGTGGACAGAGCACCCGTTCTTTGGGGTGGCCAAGATCACCTTCAGCCTGTCGCTGATGCTGGGCTTCTTCTACACCATCTGGCTGTACCTGCCGTACATCCCTGGGCTGCAGCGAGTGCCCTTCTTTGGCTTGGTTGGGTGCATCATCAGCGTCTGTGAAGGTGCCCCTTGGTTCTGGGAAAGATCCTCAGTGTCTCCTCACCCCATCTTCCCCGGCACTGCTCCCTCGTCCTTTCTCTGGCCGTTGGGGAGGGGCTTGGTGGGTGGTGGAAACACACAACAGGTAGAACTGGTAGTTGTTGACTGGAAATGGATTTCCATCATTTCCTGGTCACTAGAGAGGTGGGAGCGAGGGGTTGATTCCCAGGAACCTCTGGGGCCATGGACTCTGTGTGCGCTCGTGGGAGTCGTGGTTTGTGGCTATGGCACCGCAGATGAGGAAGAGTCCCTATGGGATCCGCGGGTGGCAATGACCCTTCTGCTTCCTGTCTCCTAGTTGCCTTGCTTTTCTCCGGCCTCCTGCTGTTTCCGATTGATGTCTGGCTCTACGAGGTGGAGAAGAATTTTTCAATCCACATCGGGTGGAGCTATTTTATTGGCTGGGTGGTGTTTATCTTATATCTCATCTGTGGTGAGTGTCCTGGAGGGCCCTGGGAAGGAGGGGACGTGGGTGCGGGTCAGGGCAGAGAAAGTGTGGCGAGGTGGCTGACCGTCACAGGGATGGGTTCTCAGGGACTTCCTTTTGGGCTCACCCTGCTTGCCACTTTCCTTCCACTCTCTGACTTTCCTCTCCCCCATCCCCTTGTCTTTTCCCAGCGTTCCTCTGCTACTTCAACAATAAAAGATTCTGGAGTCTGATTCTGAGCAGTGCGTCTTCCACCCTGTCCTTCAGCAGCAGCAGCAGTAGGTCAGGTTCGCTGAGTACAGGGTCTCAAACATCTATGTCGACTGGGAAGAAGCCCGGGATCTGAACAAGGCAAGGAATCTCTGTAAGCTTTTCTGAACCCCTGGCACCAAGTTCTGTCCTTTGATCTGGATCACCCTCCTCATTCTTCCCCACAACCCTTAAGTAGTTCGGCCCTCCTCACTGCAAATCATTAGAGAGCAAGGATTTTGGACCCGCTTTGCACGCCTCTTCTTTGTTCCCGCTTTGCCTGCAGTTTGGGTAATGTGGAATAAATTGTCTTTTATTTATCATCTCTGGCAGTTGTTGAAGAAGGAGAGGAAGGGAGAAAGAACAGGTTTGTTTCCGAATTCTTTCTACCTAGGAGCCTTTTGGCACCCTTTGGTCCCCACACCTGCCCAAGCCCTCCCACAGCACCCTGTACACGGACGGGCAAATACCTCTCAAGAGTTAAGCCTCTTTACACTTTTTTACCCCCATCTCAAACTTTGTTCGCTAGGAGATAAGGGGAATGATCAGGAAAGAGATATCACTTATGAATTTGTTGGCTTAATTTATTCACAGTGAAGAATTCAAGAGCAAAATGGCATTTGGAAAGAGGCGGGTTAAACCGTGAGAGCACTATAGGGGGTTGTATCATGTGCCCTGGACAGCAGTCCAACCCTCTGTCCAGCTCAAATGACTAGCACTCATGAGCAGTCTGCCTAGATAACACCAGCACCAACCTCAACCCTACCTCCACCACCTCCTCCACCTTCACCTCCTCCACCATCACCATCACCACCTCCATTTCTACCACCACCTCCACCTCCTCCATCCCCTCCACCTCTACCTCCACCTGCACTTTCACCACTACCACCACAATCAACTTTTTTTTAAAAAATATCTTTATTGATTTCAAAGAGGAAGTGAGAGGGATAGAGAGTTAGAAACATCGATGATGAAAGAGAAACATCAATCAGCTGCCTCCTGCACACCGCCCCCGCCGCCCCCCGGGGATGTGCCCACAACTGAGGTACATGCCCTTGACCGGAATCGAACCCGGGACCCTTCAGTCCACAGGCCGACGCTCCATCCACTGAGCCAAACCGGTCAGGGCCACCACAATCAACTTTACCACCTCCCTTCCTTTCTGAAATCAATAAAAAGATTTTTTTTTTTAAAAGAAAAGAAATAAAAAGGGAATTGAGAGGCACACAAAAGTCACTGGTACATAGCAATTCTCAAATCCAGCTGGGAAAATGTTGACATTTCCTTCATTAAAACTCAGTCTGATTTCAGTCCAGGAGTGTCTCCATGGATCTTTTTAAATCTTTTTTTAAAAGATATAATTAATATACCATAAAATTTACTATTTTTAAAGTATACAGTTCAGTGGTTTGGGTATATTTACAATGTTGTGCAACCAGCACCACCATCCAATTCCAGGACATTTTCATCATCCTAATCACTCTCCATTCCCTTTAGCCCCTACTAATCTATTTTCTGTTTCATTGGATTTACCTATTCTGACATTTAATATAAATTAAATTATAAAATATATGGCTTTTTGTGTCTGGCTTCTTTTGCTTAACAAAGTTTTCATGGTTCATTCATGTTGTATAAAGTATCAGCACTCCATTTCTTTTTTTATGGCTGAATAATATTACATTTATGGATATGCCATATTTTATTTATCTATTTGTAAATCGATGGACATTTTGGTCGTTTCCACCTTTTGACTATTATGAATAATGTTGCTATGAACAAGTTTTCATACAAAAGTTTTCAGTTCTTTAAGGTATATATAACTAGGAGTGAAATTACTGACTCACATGGTAACTCTATGTTTAACTTCTGGCCGAACTGCCAGAATGTTTTTCAAAGCAACTGTACCATTTTACACTCCCATTAGTAATGAGAGAAGAGTCCAATTTCTCTACATCCTTGCCACACGTTATCGTACATGTTATTGATTCAATATTTCTTAATAAATGTGAAGTCCTCTCTTCCTGTGGTTTTGATTTGCATTTTCCTAATGCATTTCTCCAAGAGGTAATCTCATGTGTTTACGGCCAATTTGTACATCCTCTGTGGCTCTGCCTGCTATGTCCTTGATTTTACCTTCTGAATCACCCTTTTCTATGAAAGGCAGCCCGTTTTTTTGTGCTGTGTAGTTTTCTCAGCCTACTTCTTGCTAGAATTTTGGGGAATTGAACCTGCAACCTTGGCATACGGGGACGATGCTCTAACCAACTCGGCCAGGGCCTTTGAGTTTTTTTTATTTCAGTTCTTGTATTTTTCAGTTCTAAAATTCCCACTTAGTGGTTCTATATATCTTCTATTTCTTTGCTGAGACTTTCTATTTTTTGTGTGTCATTTGTTTCAATCATGTTTGTAATTGCTCATTGAAGCGTATTTGTGATGGCTGCTTTAAAATTCTTATTAGAGAATTCCAGTGTGGAATCATACATCTGTCCTTTTGTGTCTGCTTATTTCACTTGGCATAACATCACCACGGTTCATCCACGTTGTAGGATGTATCAGAATTTAATTTTTCTTAAGGCTGAAAATATTCTATTGTATGTACAGACCATATTTTGTTTATTCATTCAGCAGTTGATGTACACTTGTGTTGTTTCCATCTTTTGGCTATTGTGAATAATGCTGTTATGAACATTGGTGTATAAATCTCATATGTGTAATTTTAAGCCAGAGTCTGATGGATTCAGTAGTAGCCATTTAGTTTCATATTGTAGTCATGAATGCTGTTCACCAAATCTTTCTAGCTTTCTGCCTTCTGGGAATATGCTAAGATTTCACCTTCTGACTCCCTTGTGTTTGGGTAGAGTCATGTGACTAGTTCTGGCCAATGAATTGTGAGACACACTTCCTCTTTTGGACCAGAGCTTTTAATTGCCAGTGTAAAATCCTCTAGAGCAGCGGTTCTCGAACGACCCTTTCACAGGGGTCGCCTGAGACCATCGGAAAACACATATATAATTACATATTGTTTTTGTGATTAATCACTATGCTTTAATTATGTTCAATTTGTAACAATGAAAATACATCCTGCATATCAGATATTTACATTACAATTCATAACAGTAGCAAAATTACAGTTATGAAGTAGCAACAAAAATAAGTTTATGGTTGGGGGTCACCACAACATGAGGAACTGTATTAAAGGGTCGCAGCATTAAGAAGGTTGAGAACCACTGCACTATAACCTCTGAGCCTCAGTTTCTTCGTCTGTAAAGTGGGAGGGGGTAGAGTAACAGTGTCTATCTGTGCCCAGTGCCTGAAACACCTGACTGATAGGAGGAGCTCAACAAATAGTCACCTGGAAGGTGACCTGGAGTGAATACAGACTTAGACCAAGATTTTCTTTCAAAACTGACCAAGGTGAACGTCAGTAATTCTGGATCTGACAGGAGACTTATTTCCTTTCATAATTGTAAATAACTGCTCACACCGATAAGTACTTCCAAACATGGAAATAATTTCATATGCGAATTTTTGAGTATTTTCAAACCTGGCAGTTAAATATTAAAAAAATAAATTCAGGCACGCCAACTTCACTGAATTTTGCCTTCAAATCTGAATCACACTGGATCTCAATTACCTCCATTTGCATTTGATTAGGTACTGATTCTGTATTTATTGAAAAAATTGAAGAAAATTTGTCTTCCAAAAATTTAAAATCTGCAAACCTTGTTTCAAATTCAGTTCTAAGGCTTAAATTTTCTTCTGCGTATTTTTGATACGATGCAGTTTCACCTAAACTTGATTTGTTCATGTTGCATGCCAGAAAGTGCATTAAATCTTCATTTTGCAACTGCTTTTCCCAAAGAACTAGCTTACATTTGAATGCTTTGACTTGGTCACACATGTTTGTAATAATCTGATCTCTTCCTTGCAGTTTTAAGTTATAACAAAACATATGTGTGTTTTGTTATATTAACCATGAAGATAAATCTTGCAACCATATCTTGTCAAAAAACAGGCTTGTGTCTTGATTTTTAGTTATTAAGAACTGACATAGTTCTTTTTTCAAGTCCCAGAGTTGTTTAAGAACCTTGGAGCAGGATAGCCAACGTACCTCAGTATAGTAGGACAAACTGGAATATTCGCTGTCTAATTCACTTAAGAAAGCAGAGAACTGTGGCTGATTTAAACTTGGAGATTTTATGAAATTGATAATTTTTTTGATAGATGTCAACACACTTTCCATGTTTATTACCTTCTTTACGCATAATACTTCTTGATGTATAATGCAATGCGTATGATGAATCTTGGATCCGTCAAAAATTTCACTTTTTTTTTTTTTTTTCAGAAATGCCATGAAACCATTGTTGTTTCCGGTCATCGAAGGAGCTCCATCTGTAGCTACGGAAGTTAATTTTGAGAGAGGTAGATTGTGTATTTGCAAGATTGTATATTTGCAAGTTTAAAAACACAATTAAATATATCTTGTCCTGTACTAGTGTTATGCATCGGTACTAGTTCCAACAATTCCTCAAAAATATTGAAATCCGTGTCGCAAGCACGAAGAAACACAGCTAACTGAGCTACGCCTCCAATGTCCGTACTCTCGTCACAGGCAATGGAGAAAGCTTCGAAACTAGGTGATTTTGCTTTGATCTGAATACTTAAATTGTCGGCCAAATCAGTAACTCTTTCTGCAACTGTATTTCGAGACAAAGAGATTCTCTGAAAAGACTTCCCATTTCCAGGACAAATAATTTCTGCAGCTTTAATGAGACATTCCTTGATGAAACCACCTTCAGTAAAAGGTTTCGAGGGTTTAGCTATCAACTCCGACAAGAAGTAGCTTGCATGCCCCGCTGCTTCACTTTCATGTGATACTTTAGTCACCATGAACTGCTGTTTATTCAGCCCCAACTTGAGCTCTTTCAACTTTTCTTGTCTCATTAATCCCTCGTAATTATCATATTTTGACTTACGTTGTTCATAGTGACGATGAATGTTGTGTAACTTTGGTACGCTAATAGCATTATTACATATCAAGCAGATTATTTTATTTTTTACTTCACAGCAAAAATACTCCAATTCCCACGTTTCTAAGAAATTTTGATGTTCGTCAGCAATTTTTCATTTATTTTTACTACCACTTGATTTCAATAGAGACATGCTGAATACAAAGGGCTGAAATAAATGAGTAATCGTTAACATAACATAATAGAACATTTTAATAAAAATCGAAAGCAACCTAAATATTCTTCAATAGGTGAATGGATAAAATGTGGCACGTCCATATAATGAAATATTATTTTTTTTATTCTTTTAAAAATTGTTTTAAGTA